TTTTAAATGCGAATATTCTGGCTGTACTATTGTTGTCGGTGAGATCAGTATGTTATATGAACATTATTCCTTAGTCTCTATAGGAGCTAAATCTTATACTAGCTACTGAGATGCTTGACCCAGAGTAACCTGGTTGACGCGCCTCGCTAACTTACTGGTATCTCACCCTAACTTTACCGTTCCTGATGCTCAGTAAAAGAGTCCGGACGTTGGTCTTCTAGTGCATTATAACGAACATTTATTCAGATTTATTGACAACTGATCAACCAAAGAAAATGCCGGCAGTTAGCGCCACAGTGGTCAAAAAATTTTCGCCCTTTCGGGTCAAACACCTGATGATCATAGTGAGGTCACATCCTAAAATACCTTAACTCACCAGGTGACAGTACAGTGCCCCCCAGTGCCGACACAGTGAATTACACAGTTAAAGCAAAACCTCCCAATAACATATTTGGCTCCTATAGTCTCTGTGACAAAGGAGGATTTTATGACTATTTGCTTTAGATTTCTTACATATAGCTCCTTTAATGCGAGTGACTCAATCTCGTGCTGGAGTTTGATTGATTGCCTGGTTGTGACGTCATTCGTCCCACAGTGCAACAGCACAGTGTGGACGGAGGGGTGAAGTTCAAGCAGCATGGGTGACAGTTCAATGAAATCTGCGACTCTGCTGCCAGAGAGGCAGTATGTTACAGCACAGGGGAGTTTCATAAATCTCACGATGGCGTCGCCTAGAATAAGAAGTTCTGCTGTGTCCGTGTATTCAGAGCTGCTGTACATGGAGAGTTTAGGTGGAAGCTGGCGATTTACCGTGCTAACTGTATTAGTCACATTGGCACTGCAGGGGGAGGTGGCTTCGTTATCGGACAGCTGTGTGGAAAAGGGGGCGTTGGCTGCATCAGTAGCTTGTCCTGGAGCATGAGTGGTGTTTACACTGGGGTCAACACTACACGTGGATAGTGGTGCTGAAAGTCTGGGATGTTTACTTATGGGAGAGCTATCTCTGGAGTTGGGATTACGCGGAGAGCGGGGTCTTTTCAATGATGCTGTAATTCATTTGGCTACGGGAGTCTGAGAAATGTGTGGGGAAATTGGGTCGGACTCGGCGGTGGCTTCAAGAGTGGCAAAGTGGTTGAAGAGCTGAAGCGGGCCATCTTCTTCACTTGGATCGTAAAGAGGAAGGGAAATTTTCCACGTGCCCCTTACCACCGATGTTCAGGAGGAGCAACCGGGAGCAGGAGATTCGCTGTCTGGCGATTCCAGACAAGCCAGCCGGGAGGAGAGCTCCGCCTGTCGCTGGAGAAGTTCCATGATAAGAGACTCAGTGGATTTCAACTCAGTTTTTATATTGGTGATTGTTGATGTCGCAGCCATCATTCGGGAGGAGACTTCAGTTGAATAAACGGAGGTGCTGGAACAGGTAAGGTGATTTATTCTGGTTAATCCTTGAGTGACGGTAACTGTTCATATAACGTTAGTTCACAGTCAGTGCCAGCAGGGAGATGGGTTGTACTGTGGTATGTGGCTCGCAGTCAGGCTGGTGAGGTGATCTGGAGACTGAAAGCAAAGAAAACAGAAAAAACTTCAGCAGCAAAGTTGATTGTATGGCTCCGTTGTTTACTTTGTGGTGGCTGTAGCAGTTTGAAAACAACCACCATATAAGATGTTGTGGTCCACAATCAGGGACGGCAGTAAGGACAGTAAAACTGGAAACCAAGAGTGTTTTCTGGAAATAAAACTTACCGGGGCCCGGTAAAGGGCCCAGTTGCGGTGATCAGCTCTTATCTGGAGAAGCTGGGTATAGCTCGGTTCCCAGCCAACCAACACGGCAACAGGCCCGGTTGCCTTGATCCAGCTCTTATCGTTGGTATAGCTTGGTTCCCAGCCATCCAACACTAGGCAGCAACTCAGTGATTAAGGACAATAGCACTGGAAACTGAGAGTGTTTTCCAAAACAAAAACTTACCGGCAACAGGCCCGGTAAGGGGCCCGGCTGCGGTGATCCAGCTCAGTAATCCGTCCACTCAGGCTGATATCAGGCGAAGGTATGTAGAAGGAGCGTGAAGGATGGCACGCTCGAATGAAGGTGGTTAAAAGCCGGTGTTTTGGTGGATATAGGCTGACGTGAGCCGCTCGTGTCTACTGCTGAGAGCGGTTCATAAAAACATCTTGGTAACGCTTCCTTTTATGGTACTGTAATTACCATGTATTGACATGGTAATTACAAGGTAAGTACCATGTAATAAGGAGTAGTTACTGTAAAATTACCATGTAATTACAAGGTAACTATATAGGTAATTACCTAGTACTTTTAAAGTAATTACCTAGTCAATTCCAGGCAAATACCAAGTAACTACCTGGTAATAAGTATTAATTACTGGGTAATTATAATGTAATTATATACTAACTATTTTGTTAATTGCCAAGTACTTACTAGGTAATTGCCAAGTAATTTCTTAAGAAGTACCTGGTAACAGCCAGGTAATAAGAAGTAATTACTCAGTAATTATAAAGTATTCATATGGTAACTATGTGATTAACTACTAGGTACTCACTAAGTAATTATTATATTATTTCCTAACAACTACATATAATAATTAGTAATTACTGGGTGTTTCTTAAAGTTATTACAAGGTAATTGCATAGTAATTAATAATGTACTTATTTCATGAGTACCAAGTAATTTTCTGACAACTACCAAGTAACTACAAGGTAATAAATAGCAATTACTGAGTAATTATTAAGTAATACATGGTAAAAACCTTTTTATTCACACTGTATTTACTTAGTAAATATATAACACTTACCTAATAACTACTCATCAAACACCATGTAATAATAATAATAACTACTAGGTATTTATTTAACAATTACAATCTTACTAGCTTGATAATTGCCAATTACTTACTCAGTAATTAGTATTTTCCTAATAACTACATGGAAACTACAATGTATTTTAAAGTACTTATCAGCCACTTACCAAATAGGTACCTGGTAACTACCAGATAACATACCCAGCAATAACTGCAAAATTACCATGTGAATTACCATGTAATTATCAGGTTATTGACTGTATTTATTTCATAACTACACAGTAACTACCCTTTAATTGTACCTGACCACTACCGAGGAAGGCTATGTATTGTATTGGTAAATACACTTTCCTATTGGCTACCAGGTGTAATTACCAAGACATTATAAGTTTCTATTAGATAATTACCATGTAATTACTAGGAAATGAAGAGTATTTACTAGGTATTACTAGGTACTACTAGGTATTTACGCCATGTATTTCCCTAGTAGTCAACTGGTTTTTACTACTTACCTGGTAACTTTTATATAACTTTTACTATTTACCCAGTAACTACAACATTTACCTGGTAATTACAGTTGAACTGTACTGCAAAAGGAAGTGAGGCCTGTTTCCATGCTATTACCTGGTAATTACTTATTTGTTACCCAGGAACTAGAAAAATACCTACCTAGAAGGTACCTAGTTATTAAAGTGGAACTGTACTGCAAAAGGAAGTGAGGTCTGTTTCCATGCTATTACCTGATAATTACTCATTCGTTACCCAGGAACTAGAAAAATACCTACATACAAAGTACCTAGTTATTAAAGTGGATTTGTACTGTAAAAGGAAGTGAGGTCTGTTTCCATGCTATTACCTGGTAATTACTCATTCGTTGCCCAGGAACTACAAAAATACCTACCTGGAAATTACATAGTTATTAAAGTGGAATTGTACTGCAAAAGGAAGTGAGGCCTGTTTCCATGCTATTACCTGGTAATTACTCATTTGTTACCCAGTAAATAGAAAAATATCTACCTGGAAATTACATAGTTATTAAAGTGCAACTGTACTGTAAAAGGAAGTGAGGTCTGTTTCCATGTTATTACCTGGTAATTACTCAGTATTTAGCCCGTAACTAGGAAACTATCACATTACCCAAGACACTTGCCGCAAAACCGACCAGTGTCTATGATACAGTGTCAGAGTACACTGATACAGATACAGAGTCTGATTCTCCCCCTGAACAGCACACTGTATCTGTCAGGAGATAAGAGTTCCCATCAAAAACCACCATCACCAGCCATCAAATTACATTAAGATGAATGCATTATTTTTACACTTCCTCACTCAAAACACCTCGCTGTGACAGATATGCAAAAACAAGTGAGCTGCCAAAGATAAACGTTTTAATCCAATGGATTTCAAATTCTTATAAAACAATTTCAAAAACAGTGCAAATTTTTAACAGTCAGGCACTTTTTTTTTTTATCAGAACAGACTTCTTTTTCAAAAAATAAATAAAAATAAAATAAAAATAACAGTGATAAATAATAACTATAAATAATAATTACTAAGTAAACAGTCCCAGTCTTGGGAATTCACATCATCATGTGTTTTCTGCAGACCGGTCTGGCCCCAAGCACTGGGTGGGCATTCCACTTTTTGGTCTCTGAAAAGTGAAAACACCCACCTAGTGCAAGCACCCACATGGGCCAGACCGGTCTGCAGTAGACACATGATAATGAGAAGAATAGTGCAGAATAGTGCAAAAAATCATTATAAAACCTGTAAAATCCCTCCTGTAAAGCAATGGTTCCCAAACGGTTAAACCTTATGACAAAAAGAACAGGTATTTGGCATTTGCCCGGGACACAAAACTAGTGAAAACAACAACGTATTAACTCCAACTGTGTGTGTGTGTGTGTGTGTGTGTGTGTGTGTGTGTGTGCGTGCGTCTGTGTGTGAATTCACATCATCATGTGTTTCCTGCAGACTGGTCTGGCCCCAAGCACTGGGTGGCCGTTTTTCAGAAACCAAAAAGTGATGTGTCTGTCAGGACTTTAAGACAGTGCAGACACTGGTTGATTCTTCACTTTTTGGTTTCTGAAAACACCCACCTAGCACAAGCACCCACATGGGCCAGACCGGTCTGCAGAAGACACATGATAATGTGATATCACATGGCTGGTGCTTCACCAGGCCCCCTCATTTCTGAAATTTGTATTTGATGGTGAGCAGCTCATTGGCCTTCCTCATCTTATCCACTTTCTCCTTTAGGGTGGGGTTTGCATCCAAAAATGCCTTGCATACTTTGGCAAAGCTAGCCAAACTCTGCTTTTCAGCAATTATGGGCAGCTCTCCCCACCCCCCACCCTCTCCGGCAATGAGGACATCTGCGATGACCGCAGTCCCCGCGATGGTGTTGCGGTCCAAGTCAAAGGCCCTACAGGTTTCTGGGATGCTCCTGGTCCTCTTGTACATCCTCACCAACTTCTTATAGCGGTGGACCACATCCTCTGGGCTACTGACTACAAGACAGATCAAAGAAAAAGAAAAAAAAAAAAGAAAGGGAAAAAAACACACTCATAATTACAAATATATTGTACAATCCGAGTATACATGATGATCAGTACTTAAACTATTCTTCTTCACTTCAGGGTTTAATTGATAGTCTATACATAACAGTTTCATAATAGGGCCAGCCTGACTATGCCAAATGTTGCCGTTAAGAGATTGTGTGTGGGTGGAAGGGAGAGTACTCTTAGCAGAGATGCTCCTACTAAGACGAAAATCTTCCATAGGCCTTGCTAAGGTGAACGGAGTCTGAAAGCTCCCCAATGTAGTCGATAAAAAAGGGGTGCATTTACCAAATTTTGGGGTCACTTAATAAATCAGTGCATTTTCATGCTGCAGTGTGATGTAAAATTTAAAAATTCAAGGTCCCCCCCTTAACTCTGACAGTGCACAAATGGACTGGTTAGGGCTCATTTGGTTCCATCTGTACATCAGAGTTTTGTGTCAAGAGTTACATACTCTTAGGGGTCGATTTAGAACGCTTAAGGTAAACCCAGAGTCCCTGAAATCCACTTTGATAACCACTGATGTAAGCAAAAGCACTGTTTGTGTGTGCATTGTTACAGAAGCAATATGAAAATCTTTATTTTCCCAGATACCTCGCTTTCCAAATGAAGCCTTCTTTGGCTTTTTCTTTGGGGAGTCCTCATCTGATGATGATGACGATGCTGGCTTCCTTCTTCTCTTCTTGGCAGCCTTCTTTGTTTCAAAGGAGGACTCAGGCTCAGAGGAGTCGGAGGACTCACCAAGGTCATGGCTCCTTTTCTGTGAACCTTAAAGTCAGCAAATATATAAAGAGAGAACCAAAGAGCAAAAAAATAAAAATAAGAATGCAGTGATTGCAATTTTATTTCATGAATAAATATGAGAAAATTGAAGAAATTCCATAAATTAGAAAATAAAAGGCCTATATACAAGCTCACAACACGGCGTGAAGCGACACGTTGTGAGTTTGTAGGTCTGCTGTTTTCACTATTTTTGTGTCCCAGGCAAACGTAAAATACCTCTTTTTTTCTCACAGGCTTAACAGTTTGGGAACCATTGCTTTAGATCATGGGTTTTCAACTGGTGGTCCGTGGACCACTGGTGGTCCGCGGAGGCATTGCAGGTGGTCCCTGGCCATGCATTCATTGAAAAGAAAAGTTACTTTTCCTTTTTAAATTTTCCTTTTAGTTCAATTTGCTACTCTTTTTTTCTTGTTTGCAGGTGAATAAAAATATTTTGAGGGGAAAAAATACTTGATAGAATGATATAACTGCTATTTTCTGGTAATAAAATGCTTTGAGAATGGACAATATATTGTTGGATGGGTCTATGATGGACCCACCTGACAATAGTGGTGGTCCCCAGGTTGCTCCTAGTCAGAATGGTGGTCCCTGGGTCAAAATCAGCTGAAAACCAATGCTTTAGATGGTAGTTTGAGCCTGACATGTAGGTTTTGGGAGGAACAGTCTAGTTAGCTTTTGAACCGGCCTCAGAGGAACGAGACTTCTCCTTTAGGAGATCCCGCTCCTGTTTTAGTAGTCTGTTCTCTTCCTTAAGGAGACGAATCTCCTCTTTGAGGAGCCGGTTCTCTCCCTTTAGCTGGTTCAAGTCCGACTTGAATTTTTCCATGGTTCCACAAGAACCGCCTCGAACCTCTTCAACTGAAAAAGATGCGCAAAGATGTATTAAATACTTAGGATTGTATTTGTTTCAACGTGTTAACAGTCATAGGCTGTTCTATTTCAGTTAGACAAAGCTTTGTAACTAAGCCTTGCCGAGCCACGAGGCCCATAGGGCAGGAGCCTATTTCCTTTTTCTTTAGCATGAGGCAGCTTTGTGTACATTACAAGTCCACCCCCTGGACATGATGCTAGTATGTCGCAGGGACTCAATCTATATCCAACCCGGGATGCAGAGTGCCAGGATTTTTATTTGTTATGTCCTGACCAAGGGTCGAACATCAACCTCCCAGTCTGAGGGCGGACTAACCACAAGGACATTGAACTTTGTAGGTGCACAGAATACCAAGGCGTGTGTGTTTGCACGCACGCACGCGCGCACACACACACACACACACACACACACACACACACCTTGGTATGGAATGATTGTGGTGGTGGTGGGAGGGCCCCACCAGACAACCTTGTGCTATACGAGACCACTCTATGTATAACCATGATTGAATAAAATTCTTACCTTCGATATCTGACTCCACCTCCTTCAAGTTGTTTTCGACTGGCAAAGTCTTCTTCTTGTTTTCTTCTTTTTTTTTCCCTCTTCGGGTTTGTGTTTGAGACATGACTCTGTGGGGTAAAATAACCAAATTAAGCAAAGCTTAATTTAACAAAGCTGTATCTGTTATACAGTATGATATATAAATCAACTTTGAGCTGATTTATGGCTCATAAAGTGGACTGGGACCCCTAGGGGGCCATCACAGTTACTACAGGGGGGCCACCAAATATTTGTCATTTTTGTTTGATCTACATTAACCACATGAATATTTTCAGTCATTCAAATGCATATACTGTTGACGCGTTTTAAGCTTGTAGATCAGCTATTTCTTTTGACATTTTTTAATTTGAATCCTGAATTATTTTCTTTTTACTATTTTTGAATTGGAATCGGGAAAATTTACATTTATTCATTTTTAAATTAAACTTTGTTCTTATGCTAACATTATGAACTTCAATTCAAATACAATAAACAAAAAATATATAATAGGCATTAATATAGACTGAAGTAATAAAAGAGGGTCATGTTTGCATGTTTTGAATTGTAACCGCAGAAATAAATAAATCGGGTGAAATAACAATGTTTAACATTTAACTTAAATCTCCCAAGCTCTTTTGAGAACCCCCTGGGGGTCCGATTCACAGGTTGAGAACCACTTGATTGATTGATTGTTTGATTGATTGAAAAGTTTATTGAGAAAAAGGTACAGTTTCGTCACAGTACAAACCCACTGGCACAAGGTCAACTAAAAGGAGATTACACAAGAAAGCCTGAGCTTGTTTCAATTGACATTTTTTTAAACTCATAACATTGAGAAACATACAGAAAGAACGCAGTACTATGCAGAAAGTAGCATTCAAATGACACAAATACTGATCTAAATGTTGAGGGTTTAAGTGGCTAACACGTTTAAAGCTAAACAAAGTAAAGCTCGGTAGTGCTTAACCAAACTCTCTGGGCAATGGGGTAACATTTGATGTGTTCATTAAATTGTAAAACACATTAAATTGTAAAACCCTACACACGAATAAATTAACCTCGCATTAACAGGTGTTCAGCAATCTAGAACAGTCGGCCCAGTGCTCAGATCTAGCCTAGCCTACCAACGTTCCCCAGTGTTGTTAGCTTTAGCCATTTTCACGTTAGCAACCATGGCATGCAAACCACAGTCAGCTTATATTAACTGTTAATGTTACAGTTATTTCTCGGGTACAATGTGTCACTTACCAAGGTGTTTTTCTTCCGTGGTTGGGAAAGCGGAGCCCACACCAGGAGAATGTGGGTTTCTGTGACAACTCGAGTAGCCAGACTGTCCTCAAACTGCAAACGACCAGGCACGTCGTTTTTGACAGCACCTAACCCCCGAAAATAGAAACGTCATACTAGGATTCGAACCCGGTTCTCCCGCACCGACGGCGGACGCCCGTTACGCCACACTGTCACTACCTTAGTTTTCGCTTGTAAGTAATATATAGCTGGGGATCCAGGGGGCGCAAATTGGCGGTAGGAATACACTCTTTTTGGTCATTTGAAACGCTCTTCGTGGGTCGTATGTCCACATACGTCCTATCTGGTCGTATGAGTTGGAGGATATGTTGCAAGTAGCGCGGTTGAAAGGAGTGGAGGAGAAATAAACAGTCGCACACAGCTTGTCACCGGCTGTTTGATTACAACTCGTGGTTCCGTGTTTCCCCTTCACGTTGGTGACGTTGCATACGCATGTGCATACGTCATTACGCTCTGGAGACGTTCAATAGCCAAAATCGCCCGCGAAGATAGGAGCACCAGCAAAAAAGCGACACGAGCAGTTCAAGCTTCTTACTGTGTAGGTGTGGTGTAGGCAGACTAGGCACTGATTTATTGATTGATTGATTAACAGATTGATTGAAAGGTTTATTATAAGTTTGCATAGGGAAAAGGTCAACTAAGAAGGAGATTACACTATTAAGCCTGAGCTTGTTTCAATTGAGATCCTTTTTTTTAACCAAGAAGAAGGCATTTTCTTAAAAAAAAAAGTCAACCATGACTTTAATAAGAAAACTCCTGCAAAATACAGCACAAGGAGGAAAACCTCTGATACGGTGGCTTCAGAGGGAGAGGCTGTTGGCCAGTAAAAAAAGATGCCCAGTTTGCCACAGGCAAATGAAGTTCAAAAAAACAAACACAACCAAAGATGGATATCGGTGGTAAGTGATGAAGCATTATCATTGCATTATCATTATCTTATCATTATCGTCTTTATTGTTATATATATATATATATATGTGTGTGTGCATGTGCGTGTGCGCGTGCACGTGCGTGTGTGTTATACATTTATTTAAAATGATGAACACATTTTAAATAATCCTGTCTGTGACCAAACTGGCCATTTTCTAAAAAAAGCTATAATGTTTCAGTGTGCAATACACCTCCCAATCTATAGTCTCATTGTTGAAAGCAAATGGAGAACAGAAAATGGCCATCCATCAGATTAAATTTCTTTTTATTGAGCTATACTTTAGATGCGAGTAGTCCTGTGGGAGCGTACAATATTGTAACATTCCGTGGCCGGGGGTTAAGCACTCTATATTTCAATATGAACGTTTATGTAGATGTAAGGGGCAAATGTAGAAAAGGGTAAATGTTTTCCTCCTAACAAGGGACATGACCATGTTTACAATCTCATATAGGTTTACTCTTGAGAATCTATGTTACTACTTAAAATTATATTTACAGGTGTGGTATGTTATGTTACAGGAGCTGCAGAAGGTCATCACACGGGGGCAGGGCAATAACGAGGTCCATCAGAGATGGATCCATTTTCTCTGGATCACACATCCTATTACAATCATGGATGCAGATTATGCACAGGTTGGATGTTTCTCTCCCTCACTTCAATTCAAATGGTCTCTCATTCTCTCATAAGCTGTGTAATTGTATTTTGTTACACAATAATTAATTATTTTGTGCATTTCATTTTAGCTTTGACCATTCCAATCAGGTAGACCTAATACAGTACATGCAAATACCACATGTAAACAGTGTCTCTTAACATGAATAGCCAAATGCATACTGACATATTACATAGAGCAGTGGTCCCCAAACCTTGTATCTCAAAATCCAAAAGCCAAATTATATGTTTGCCCAGATCGCAAACTTATGAACATAGCAGATTTACAAGCTCTGAATGTGTTCGCACCGCAATGTGAACTTGTAGATCAGCTATTTTTACTACTTCTATTGGTTATCTAATTTATGGAATCTTAGTTTTCTTTCATGTATTAAGGAAGTTAATGAGAAATCAGTGCTTGTTTGTTTTTTAAAATCATGAAAACTTATGTATGCTTTTTTGAAGAATGTTTTTGAAAAGGTTTTGAAATAATAATAATAATTAGGGAACCCATGTATTTATTCGTGACCCACAAATGGGTCCTGATCCAATGTTTTGGAACCATTGACATAGAGTACACATTCTAAAGAAATTCAAGAAATCATGCACGTTCATCCATCCCAACATTTACAATATGCACAATGGATATTGTAGCAACAACCTATTTATATAAGGACCCCTCCCTGTCTACATAACTATCCTATCCCTGTAGCTAATATGTTGATAGCAGTTGTCCTCCTTTTTTGGTTCAGCTTGGCACAGGGATTGAGGCGAAGACATGTGGACATGATAGAAGATGGTGTGTGTGGGAGCCCCAAGTCTCTCACCAGGGTGACAACCCTACTCCGTGAAATATGCTGTAAAGCAGTGAGGCGGATGGAGAGAAACCGGAAGATGAGGATCGGAGGGAGAACAGCGTTCGTCGCAATAGACGAGAGCAAGTTTCGACACAAAAGAAAAGTAAGGTTTTATACGCTACTAAAACAGGGACAATAGGTTTTAAACACAGGCACTCAGCATCAAAGGGTTGGATTGGGGGGTGCCTGCTGGGTTACCGGTCCAGGCGCATTCTATATGGGCTGTGATGCCCAGGCGGCGTCACTGGTTCGATTCCCGAGCCAGACATTTGCCGCACTTCTCCCCCCATCTCTCTCCCCCTTTCCTGTCAGACTACTATCCTATCCAATAAAGGCAAAAATGCCCAAAAACAAATCTTAAAAAGAAGAAAAAAACAAAACATCTACAACCTATAAAAGGTTAATCTCCATGGTGATGTAACTGCCAGAACGTTATGAAAATATAAATGGATCCTTTAAAGTGCTTCAATTTAGCTGCTAAAATGTTGTGTGAAGAACAGTGAGTCTGTTCTTCATTGTCTTCAGACAAAAGTCTTGCAGGTACTGGGCATGTGAGATATAGAAATCAGGGGCATTATTGGCTTTCTTTGACATTACCCATGACTACATTCATATACCACCTCTTGAGCCATGTCTCAAACTATGCCATGTGGGGGCAGTTAATTTGAATAGAAGACCCTCGAAATTGTTGAAAAGTCCCCAAATAAATGTATTTTATTTATGTATTTTTATGTATTTAAATTTAATTTGAACATTCAGAAATGGTGCATTTTAGGTGGACAGCCGCAATTAAGCATGACATTTTGTTTATTTTCAGTATGGACGTGGACGACGTGGCAACACCTGGCGACGGCGGTCCTGGGTATTCGGGATGATGGAGGTCAAGGGGTCCCGTAGACGCCCGGTGCTGAAACTTGTAGAAAACCGATCGAGGAGAATCTTGCACCCGATAATTCTCAAATACGTTAGACCTGGAAGCCAAATAATCAGTGATTGTTGGCGTGCATACGACAGGTTGGCCAGGGATGGATATATTCACTACCAGGTGAATCATCGGCGGTACTTTGTTCACCCTGGGAATGGTGCTCATACACAACACATTGAGCGTGCATGGAGGAGCTGTAAGGAGAACATATACCGCTACAGGGGGAACCTATCAGAAAGTGCTCTCAAGATGAACTTGAAGTTCATTGAATGGAACCAGTGGCTGGGGAAAGAGCACAGGGAGGGCATCTTAGGCCGCTTGTTTAAAGATATAAGAGCATGTCACAAAGTGTAAGCCGAAATGAGGGGGCCTGGTGAAGCACCAGCCATGTGATATCACATTATCATGTGTCT